GCAGGAACGTGTCAGCGTGCGATCCCGGGCCTCAGACTAATTAGTTTTGAAATGGAGTTTTGATTGAACTCTACAAATCGATGCCGCTGCAAAATTTGTTTCTCGGGCTTCCTATTAAAAGCCATCTTAAGGGGCAGTTTTTTACTACTCTCCCTGTCGTTCAGTCGATACATTTAATAACAACTTACAGGCTATTTTCAATAAAGTGGCGACAGCAAATTAGTAGTTTGAACATGACAAGCCTCCTGCAAGATCAGATTCAGAAAACTCCGGGCAATTAGATTTTTTTTTTCTTTTCTTTTTCTTTCCTAAGGAGGAAGCATGTTGCGGTAATGAGAAGCACTTGGACCGGTGCAGACACATTATTAACCCCTGCTGTGCTTCATAGTAGTGTGATACACTCCAGCTGGGTGGCAGAGAGACAATTGCAGCCTGGCTGCTGTGTATTTTAGACCACGCTGTACACTCCTCAGGGATGAATCATCTAGCTCAAGACTTTTAAGCACTTCAGTAAATACCAGAGATGCAGCAGAACATCTTGGATGTTTTAGGATGGCTGTTCACTGTGGGGTCTTTCATCAGCTAAAGTGAATAATCTAAGAATATTTATACTTTCATAGCTTGGACTGTGAGTTCAAATACCAGTCCTTTCCACTGCTCCTGCTTGAAAATCTGACCAATGCGGAGGACCTTCACAAACAAGCACTCATTATCACTCACTTGTCAACCCTTTGAGATTGTAAGTTCAGTTCTACCTTTCATGGATATTGCCCATCCTATAGCAGTAAATAAGGTAGTGCAAAGTGCAGTAACTCATGCCAACCATCAGATGTTTACAAAATACAAATCTGGTTGCCATGGGCTACTGTTGTAAAGCTACCTGAATGCCTGTTCACATTCCAATAGGCTCTAGTAGGATCTTGCACTTTCTACCAGACATTGTAAGGAAAGGTCTTTGTACAAACATGAGCATTCAATATGAGAGAGCATGTGTATAGAGAGGAGAGGGCAGCATGTTGGTCAGTTGATCATCACCCTAGAAAATTCAGAAAGGAGATGGCTGTAGTAGTTGGGTATGGTCTATAGAAATGAAAACGGTTCTCAACCTGACCATGGTCAAATTTGGCCTGTAGAAATACAAATGTCCCCCAATCCAACCTTGATCTTGTATGGCCTATAGAGATGCAAATGTTCTCCAATCTAGCCATGCTCTTATATGGCCTATAGAGATACTAATGTTCTCCAATCCAGCCATGCTCTTGTATGGCCTATAGAGATACTAATGTTCTCCAATCCAACCTTGATCTTGTATGGCCTATAGAGATGAAAATGTTCTCCAATCCAGCCATGTTCTTGTATGGCCTATAGAGATACTAATGTTCTCCAATCCAGCCATGTTCTTGTATGGCCTATAGAGATACTAATGTTCTCCAATCCAACCATGGTCTTGTATGGCCTATAGAGATACTAATGTTCTCCAATCCAACCATGGTCGTGTATGGCCTATAGAGATACTAGTGTTCTCCAATCCAACCATGGTCTTGTGTGGCCTATAGAGATACTAGTGTTCTCCAATCCAACCATGGTCTTGTGTGGCCTATAGAGATACTAGTGTTCTCCAATCCAACCATGGTCTTGTGTGGCCTATAGAGATACTAGTGTTCTCCAATCCAACCATGGTCTTGTGTGGCCTATAGAGCTACAAACGTTCTCTAACCCAACCATGGTCTTGTGTGGCCTATAGAGCTACAAACGTTCTCTAACCCAACCATGGTCTTCTGTGGCCTATAGAGATACAAACGTTCTCTAACCCAACAATGGTGTGGTTTGTTCTTTATAAATACAGATGTTCCCCAGTCTTACCATTAACAGGCCACTGTATAGCTGTTTTATTATGTCTGCAGACAAAACTCCAGGCAAGCAGCTAAATATACAGTGGAAATGCATATATTTATTACACTTTTACCTGCTAAAGGATTTGTAATGCTGTACAACTATTATTGTGTGATTTACACATCTTCCGCATTGCAGTGACATTTTAGTTTCTGCAATGCACTTTTCTATGTCACATTTGAACCTCCAGTTGTATCATTACTTCTGTCTAATTAGCAGTAAACTTGAACCAGGAAGTAGTAAAGCGATCTTCCTGGCTGTGTGTGATACAGAGTTGTAATTCACAAGATTGACTTACTGAATTACGGATTCTTTGGCAGTTGACATTGTAAATAGATATGTTTAAACTGTATTTAGCAGTTTGCTTGTGGTTCTACTTTATCATATTGAATAATTCTGGAAAATGATTAATTTTGGGGGGATTAGTTAACAATATCTAAGCAAAAATAATCCACATCAAATACAGAATGATAAAAGAATTTGATCTGATAAATATATTCCTGTTGATATGAAAAATCTGTAGCTGAATTAACCTGTTGCCTTTTGAAATAAGAGCCATCGTAAACTCCGTTTTTTTTTTTTTTTTTTTTTTTTTTTTGAAGGTGTAGGGTCCAAGACTGTCATCTTTTCATCTTTTACTTTTTCTCTTAACCTGCGCAGTCGCTGTCTTGGAACATGTATGTGCTTATCTAGTGTCCCCACTGCTGAAACTCCTGCAGTGTGTTTTTTTTTTTTTTTTTTTTTTTTTTGGAGCTTAGCAGCTATTAATATAGTTGGTTTCTAAGCAGACATGAAATCAGAAGAGCTAGGGTATTTCCAAACATAAAAGTTTCAATGGATAAGCTAAGCAATCAAATCTTCAGTATCTGAAAGTGTTGGTCTATGTTGTATTATGTATTAGCCGGGGAATGGCAAAATGGCTTCCATAATCAATATGCACTATTTCACCATGAGTATATGTTGTCTGGAGTCTTCAAATTTGTGGTTTATGAACTCTTTGCCCACACGCATTTTGTTGTCCTTGGGACCCATTGGACATGAAGACCCAAACATTCAGTTCAAACACATTGTAAACTTATCACAGAAAACTTGGCTGAACTGGTCTCCTGCTTGGAATTTCTGATTTAGATCCTCATGGGCGGGATTTGTTTTTTCCTTCTATGCTTAATGTTTTCCTTGTCTATAGTAGACTGTTGTGGTACTCCAAATCCTGAGAGGTTTTATTTAAAACGGTCTAGTCTGTACTTTGCTATAAACCTCACTTAGACCCCTGAGCAGACTAATCTTAAGTTAAGAATATTACTATTGTAAATAAGGCCAATGCCAATTTGTCTTTTACTTGCTTCACCACACTCACTTAGCCAGTGGAGGTTTGTGCGCTGTACTAGTTTTCCTGATCTGCCAGTGGTATCTAGTTTAGTGTCTATTCGTATCTATTCGTAAAACAGACCACAAGTTTTCCAGTAGCCGTGTAATCTGTGCAGTGATGGTTAATTTGGAGGCACGGGTTAAACGGCACTTGTGATTGTTTGCAAACCACGGGACTCCAAGCGTTGTAGAGATTTTGTTTGTGCACCCTTCTTGCGACTCAGGAGGTAGAGATCACATCTAGCAGCTTGGAACCTATGCTTTGAATAAAATTGTTGCAGAACCCAGCTATTTTAACTCTTTTGTGTGATAGGTCATTCTCCTTCTCCATACAAACTATGTCCTATCACTGTGGGTGGTTGAAACTTATTAGAATTGTAATAATTCACCCAATAGTAAGGCAGTGGAAAGATCATGCACACATTGTCCCATCAATGCGACTTTTTTTTTTTTTTTTTGAGGATCAGATTGTTGCTACGCACACAGCCAAGAGCCTTTGTGTTTGGCTATTGCTAACATACTGCTGTTCAGTATACTAACAATATTGATGCTCAACAAAATAATCTCAGGATTCCTTCCCTTTAAATAGGAAAACGTATTGTGTAATGCACACCTATATTGTGAGATAAAACCCATATCCTTGCTGGCAAGATGAATGCTTCCTTCCTCCTCTGGCTAGTACCTTATCAAAGGCATGACATCAAAACCAAATTAAGGTTTTTTTTTTTTTTTTTTTTTTTTTTTCATGTAAGATGCAGGCAAAATGCAATCTTCATTAACTGCCTTGTGCACCGATTTTACTGAGTGCCTAAATGTATTAAGAAATTATGTGTGTATATATATTTTTTTTTTTTCCTTCACTTCCCCTTCTCCACTCCCCCTATGGCAGATGTTGTGGTCTCATTTGATTGCATAGGAAAACTGCAGTGATACAACAAACACCCAGAGAGATATGATGACAAATGGGTCCAGATCCCGGTAAATTACTTTCTGCTCAAATCGAAATTTCATTCAGTTTGTTGCTAGCAGAGATGAAGTAATCTAAATTGTGGACTCAGGAGCAGATAGAGGGAAGTCGGAGCAAGCATTTCATTATCAAGAGAGAGAGAGAAGGTTAGAATGAAAGAGATGAGCGGAGGCAAATCTAAAGTGTTGACACTATGATTGAAAAGGTTAACCCATACACATTATATATCAACCTGGATAGCAGTGACTTCCTAATGGAAACTCTGCTCTGATGGCGGTTTGCTGGAGTTTCAATACACCGAGCATGATGTCTTCTTAGATATACAATCAAATCCCCTTAACCCCTTTGATGACTCATATCTCTTGATATGATTAAAGCACAAAAAAGAGACTTCTTCAAATAATTTCAAGGACACAATGCATTTAAACTCTAGTCATGAATTGTATCTCTTTTTATTTTTTTATGATGAACCTGGAAATCTGATAAAAATAAGTGTAGAACAGAATTGTTTTGTATTTGCTTGAGGTATGTAAGTCACTGTTTTTGATTGCATCTCTGGGTTCCCTGTGAATAGAAGGAAGGTCGTATTTTTCTCCAGATACAAAAATGTTTTTATTTTTTTTCAATATTCAGCTATAAGCCAAGCACTATAATTTCAGATATTATTACCTGTCTCCTTTTTTTTTCCTTCTACTAAAGCAACATTTTTATGCATCTTAGGTGAAATCTTTGGTCATAAAATTATGTGTTTATTTTTATCATTGTTTTATAGGTTATTTGGCAACAGTGGAGCTTGCAGTGCTTGCGGACAGTCCATTCCAGCCAGTGAATTGGTCATGAGGGCACAAGGGAACGTGTATCATCTTAAGGTACTTGTCCATGGCTCTTGGGGTTCATGTCACATGATGTAGATGCCTAATAGTAAGCTGTAAAGGGGAACTGGACTGGAGTGTTTAGAAGAAGTGTTCAAGTTTCCAGTAGCAACCGGTGTCCTTTTTTTTTTTTTTTTTTTTCCCCTCTAAATCTGGCCAACAATTTTTCCTTCACATATATAGATTAGGCCTTGAGTATTTTAAAGCCTCAGGCATTAAGCAGTTAAAGTGAAAGTCCTTTTGTTCTTTGGTCTCTTAATTGAAGCTGTGACCTATATTACTATTTTTGATATTTTTTCCCTGAATGTATCTCTCTTTCTTCCACAGTGTTTTACGTGCTCAACTTGTCGGAATCGCCTTGTCCCAGGGGACCGGTTTCACTACATCAATGGCAGTTTATTCTGTGAACATGATAGACCTACAGCTCTTATCAATGGTCATTTGAATTCACTTCAGAGCAATCCACTACTGCCAGACCAGAAGGTGAATACTTGACTCTTTATTAACAAGCTTCTGATAGGGGACTAATTGTTACTGTAATCTGTGCAGTTTTTCTTCTTTGCATTTTTGTTATATGTATAGGGGGGTGTAAGGTGAAGAATGAAGGTCTTTCTTATGAGAGCAGCTTTAAAGAAGACATGAATAGCACAAACCTATGCAGTTTGCTTTTGTCTGGTTTCTTTTCTATGTTAACCTTTTTCATTTCACGCTTTGGAAAAAAATTTCCAACATATTTCAAAGATAAATTCCAGGCAAACTGTTGATGTGCATTTCAGATACTTATATTGGGGTTTTTACTTGCTGTAAAGACTTGTTTCTGTCCATCCTGCCAGACTGTATAGCCAGACCGGTGACCTGATTTTTCTTTGCTGTAGTAAAAGGTAGGTCACCTCCCTGGCACCAGCCTGTGCTTGGATAGTGAAGGACCAGCAGCAAATTAACTCTTATTTGTAGTAACCTGTCCACCTTACTTGTCCGAACATTTGCATGCAGCGTTCCTGATTGGCTGCTAGTACTGCCATTCTCTTAGTGCCGCAATGCAATACAAGATGCTGATACCAATTCAAGTCAAATACAGATACCGAACAGCTTTTAAAATACATTATTTTTTAAAACTTTTTAAAAAATAACTATATGAGCATTTTATATCTGCCAAGCTTTAAACACTTTGAAATAATGATGTGATGTTACATCACTCATTCCCATAGGGGCCTTTAACAATTTATTGCAGTAGGTTACTGAAAGCTGATCTGTAATTGGCTGCCAGGAGTCGGTGAACACCAGTGTACCATTCAGTTGAATACAAAAATCATTCTGTTACATAGCCACTTCAACACTTTTTTTTTTTTTTTTTTTTTTCCTCTTCAAATTTTCAGTTTTAAGTGGTTGCACAAAGATTTGTCCAATGCTGTAGACATGATACTGAAATTCACACATCCCATAAAAAGGCACACATTGGTTTTGCTATACCACATTTAAATAAAGTTTGTTTTTTTTGTTCTTACTATATATAACAACTGCTGATTCCCACCTCCCAGCCTAGGCAGTCTTGATCACATGGTCTCCAACTGTCAACAATGACAGCCGAGAGCCTATTGTTTGCTGTCAGCAATGAGATAAAAGATCCAAATAGGCTGCCCTCATGAGTAATGCACATGAGTAATTCCAGATTATACTTGGAAACACATCAGTTGAAAATCAAGACTTTCATTCCCTTTAACACTTTGTAAATGTAGGATTTAAGGTGCCTAGAGAAAAACACATTTGCTTGATCCAGCCATTTATGGTCAGATTGGTGGAACATACGTTTTCTTGGCCAATTCCTATTGCACAGCTAGCTTATGCAGATCCCTCTCCATAGGGCACACACATGCGGGTTGCCAATGCGCCTTTGCATGTTTGTAAGAGTTCTGTGCAAGAACACTTGTTCGTTGGGTGTGTCATCATGCACAGCTGACCACAGTGTAAAGTCTGTAGATACCTACAGACTTTGACACGCTTGTTTGTGCACACACAGATTTTACAATGTGTGGTCAATTTGGTGAAATATAATTTACCACTCAGTATGTAGACAGCTTGGAACTCTACCATGCAGTTTAAGTTGCATTTTCTTTTATTGAACTGTTAGCACTGGAACTGTTGGGTGGCACATATACTTTTTGTTTTTTTTTTGCTTAGAATATGAAATATCCAGGGCTTCTCTAAAGCTTCCATACTCCTAGTATATTTTGAATGAATTTTCATATGAAAATTCTCAGTACATTCGATGACTTGACAAATGTCCAAAAGTACTTTTCGTTTGCTTTTAACATTTGGTTTTGGGGTGAATAGACTTTACTGAACAAAAATGCCATACACAGATAGAAATTTGTTCAAAAAAAGTTTCCATCCTGCTTCTATAAGTTTTCTCACCATTGAGGGTTGAAAATGTTGATTTAACCACACTAACGATGGTAAAAATTGATTGAACTCTTTTCTAAAACGAAATAATTTCAGCTAAATTCTACTAGTGTCTGGCTAACTTATTGTTGAGGTCACCAGGGCTCTCTAATATTATCAGGCTGTTTCTTGTCCTTTGCATTGAATGGGTAGTGAAAGTCAAGTGCTGCTGGCCACTTACTGAAACTCGGTCACCTCACATATTTAACTACCTGCCGACCGCAGATAGCCGAATGACGGCTTCACTGCGGCCGGCCAGTTCTGAGTGGACGTCATATGACGTCCTCCCAGAACGCGCTCTCCTGCGCGCCCCAGGGGGCGCGCACCCGGCGATCTCCGTGATCGCTGTGTCCTACGGACACAGCTGATCACGTGATGTGGTAAAAGGCCAATCACAGCGGCCTTTTACCACAAGATCAGCGGTGTCCAATGACACGCTGATCAGAGGGAAATGCAAGTGCCGGTTCTCGGCTGCGCTTTCCTCACGCTTTCAGATCGTGAGGAAAGTACTGCCGAGAACCGGCAGTTGTCAGAGCGGGGATCGGCACCGATCATCAGGGCACTGATGATCAGCGCCCTGATGATCGGTGCCCAGCAGTGCCACCCGCAAGTTCCGCCCACCTGTGCCCAGCAGTGCGCCCACTAGCTCCGCCCACCTGTGCCCAGCTGATCACCCACCTGTGCCCAGCAGTGCACCCACCTGTGCCACTCTGCAGTGTCACACACCTGTGCCCAGAAGTGCCACCCACCTGTGCCCACCAGTGCCACCCACCTGTGCCCACCCACCTGTGCCCACCAGTGCCACCCACCTGTGCCCACCCACCTGTGCCCACCCACCAGTGCTGCCCACCAGTGCCACCCACCAGTGCCGCTCAGCAGTGCTGCCAGTCAGTGCCACCAGTCAGTGCCCAGGGGTTGTGCCAGTCAGTGCCGCCAGTCAGTGCCCAGCAGTGATGCCAGTCAGTACCGTCTATCAGTACCCATCATCAGTGTCACCTATCAGTGCCGCCTATCAGTGGTGCATATTAGTGCCGCCTATCCGTGACACCTCATTAGTGCTGTCTATCAGTGCCGCCTATCCGTGCCACCTCATTAGTACTGCCTATCAGTGCCCTTTAGTGCTGCCTATCAGTGCCCATCAGTGCCGCCTATCAGTGCCCATCAGTGCTGCCTCATCAACGCACATCAGTGAAGGAGAAACAATACCCGTTTGAAAAATTTTATAATAGAAACAAAGAAACTTTTTTTTTTTTTTTTTTTTTTTTTCAAATTTTTTGCACTTTTTTTTATTTATAGCGCAAAAAGTAAAGCGCCCAGTGGCGATTAAATACCACCAAAAGAAAGCTCTATTTGTGAGAAAAAATTGATCAAAATTTCATATGGGTACAATGTTGCATGACCGCGCAATTGTCAATCAAAGTGCGGCAGCGCTGAAAGCTGAAAATTGGCCTGGTGAATAAGGGGGTATAAGTGCCTGGTAGGCAAGTGGTTAAAGCAGTTAGTACTACATAATCCATACCAATGCATACGTTGGATGAGGTGGTAAGTAAATGGATCCTTCTCTAATCCACTTGCAGCATTGATCGCAGAATACAGGTAATCTGTATGTTTTACACTGTTTGCTGTGGTCAAACTATAAATGGATTAATAAAGACCTGAATTTACCAGTGACTTGAATTGATATTTGGTACCAGTTAATTTTATTTAAACTGTGCTGTCACTACAGAGGAGCAACTTCTGAAAATGTACATGGGCAGAGTGTCTAAAATTTCCACATATTCTCCAGGGACACTTTTCTGCTGAGCTATGAGTTTTTGTTTTTTTGGGGTATTTTTGTAAATATGATAAAGCACAATATTGTCTTACCAGACTGATATTAAATCTAGATTATGAACCCTTTTTAAATGGGATAAATAGGAATATATTTTAGAAAGTCAGGAAACTTTAGTACATTGGGGTCAATTCACTAAAGTTTACCACATGCCAGAGTCAATTCATCAAAGGAAAAAATATCAAATGTGAGCTAAATACCACAAATTTGGTAAAATAGTGAGATTAATGATTTGGCTCATATTTTTTGCGATCTTTAAGTCAATTCACTAATATAAACATTCATAATTTATTACCTAGTGTTTGCTGGAGGTATTTTAGAAATGTACAAAATGACAATTATGCAGGTCATACATGGGTCAAATTCTGAATGATTTGATGATTGAAATATGGAACTTTATGTGCGTTTTTGTAATCCAGTGGTGCCATCATTGATTTCGAAATTCAACCAACCAAACCTTCAAATTCACCTAATGTTACTACAGAAAATACATTTTGAGGTCGGGAATCTGCTTTTCTTTCAGGTCACAGCTCATACAGATTTTTTTCAATTATATTTCTCACAGGATTCTCCCATCATTGATTAGAAATTTGTTTTTCAAAAACTTTCCAACAAGCTTGATCACTCAAAATCGATGGCCACTCGAAAATCGGGCCATTACTGCGGCCCACTAATGGTGTGAAATTTGAACGAAAATTCTTAATTACGATTTTTTTAAAAAAAATGAATTCTGCATTCAACCCATGTATGGCCGGCTTTAGAGGAACTTTGCACTGGGCAGAAAGTGAAAAGTATACAATATATCATTCTGAAAATATTCTCCTCTGAGCTCAGGAATGTAAATAAATTGTAATATTTCATCAGAGTGAAAAAAAAAAAATACAGCATTTTAAGCTGTTATGATCATTTATACCTAGTAATGCATGCCATTTTTTTCAATAATACATATTGCAAAAAAATGTTTTTTTTTTTACCTATAACTTTAGTTCTTTAAACTTATAGGGGAAAAAGCGAGATGACCTAATTTTCTGGATAAAGCTATATACGTAGTTGGAAAGTAGCCCCCCCGACCTGTTGGCCGGAACTTTTTTTTTTTTTTTGTTTTCTCTCTTAGCTTGAAATACTGACTTACACAATAATTTTTTTACTAAGATAGAGTTGTTCCCAGTAGGGCAAGCAGGAGGAGCCAGGCACATATGCTTTGTAGAGGTCC